TAGTTACTTAGTTACTAGTAAAGTAAAGGTAAAGTCCCACCCCTAGTGTGAATAAACAAAAGAGACCCGCACCCATACCCACATCCTCCATATCCACACTAACAGCCACCCACACCCCAAGAGATGACTAGTGCAAGTATTTATTAACTCAACACATTATGCTTTCATACAGAATTTATTTACTAAAATTCTGTATTTTACAGACAAAAAACTTGTTTTGAAACAAGAACTTTTTGGACTGATCGCATGAAAAGAAGACCATTTGAAATGTCAGAATCAAATGAAGAACGACCCTGTGTGACAGTGAAGTCTGCAGAAGAAAATTGTCGTTCCACTCTAGCAGATGTTACAGGAAGCCATCGTGATATAACATTATCCATTAAACATTTTATGATCAACAATCAAACTAACTTTTATTGAAAACTGAAAAACTATCATAGACAGGTGACCTGTCTGGCCTGCAGTAGGCCTGAAAATCACGGCCTGAGTCTGCCTGATGTTGACAGGCTTTACGGCTTGTTTTAGGCTCTGATAGTTATTTTGTTTTTATTTCGTTGTGATATCATTTTAGATTTCTTTTGATGCTGTTTCGAGTTCTTTATGAGAACTTTCACTAGCTTAACAAGAGTCACCATGATAAACGTTATCTGTGATATAACCAAAGAAAAAACAACTGAAAGCGTTTGTGGGTTCCCTTTTAAGAAAGAAAAAAATGTTGTAAATATTGAAGAAGCACCTTATCTGATAAGAATAAAATTTCGAAAAAGTGTCTTTATTCACCTGACACTGAGTTATTTATGTTTTTGCTCACACCAACAGTTTAGGTGCATCAGCGTGATATATTGGATCTCAGCTAGTTTGTCAATTATTCAAACTGGTAATTAGTAAGTTTTATTACCAGAATTTTTTGTGTGTGCGTGAATATTTCGGCATATATCTATGAAGGAAAACCTCACACCGACATTTTAGATTTTCTAGCAACAACTGAAACATACATAAACGCTAACTTTGCATATACACAAGAACAAGATGGCAGCTAGCCATACGTGTATCCCAACTGTTCGACTAGCTCCTGTCGTTTTCTATCGAGAAAATGTACAGTTCGGACTCGCTCTTGCTCATCCAAACCAAATCAAAATCATCGGCGAAACTAACTATCTTAGCATGGATGACACTAGAGAATTACTTATGAAAAAAGGATCGGAGTACAGCGTCTTTTGTTATGATATCGAAAGAGATGAAATAATATTAGTTAAAACTTCAAACGAAACTGATCTTTATGAATGTGCATTTATGTATGTCGTAAGTATATATCGGATATAGTCTAAAATTTGTTATATAATATGGAATAGCGAATGATGTTTTACTCATTCTTATTGCAGGCGCAGAGAATCAATGCTATCGAAGCACTTTACATACCGTTGATTATGGCAATATCGCTGAGCAACGAACTTGCTGTCACATTTCCAGTAGATTTCCAGTTGATTCATTTGTATAATGTCGGTCGCTGTGGCTCAACTCTATTATGCAAGGCAATGAATGCCACAGAAGACTATCAATCATTGTCCGAACCCGATTTTTTTACTGGTCTCTACAATTATGATATGGAATGCAGCATGTTGTCACTTGAAGAGCATCAAACGAAATTAGCTAACATGTTAAAAGCTGCTCTCATCATGCTGGTCCACTTTTGCCTCCTCAACAAGCCCACAAAAAAAGTAATCATATTGAAATACCGATCTGTGTGTGTATTGGGTGGTCAAGCGATTCTGCAAGCTTATCCTTCGGCCAAAACTATCTTTCTCTATCGCAATGCTATCGAGCACAATGAGTCAGTGACTCGTGTAATGTTGGGCAATAGCTACTGGAAATATTGGTTAATCACCCTGTTTAGACTAGACAATCTGAAAGACAAGATCCCTGAATCAATATTTCGATCAGGCTGGAATGATATGAAGGACTTAATAATTGACGTCTATAAGTATTCTGGACGTAATGGCTTCATTTGGGGATCATTCTATATTTGGTTGTCGGCGATGGAAGCAGCCGCTCGATTACGCAAGAAAGATCCAGAGCATTTCTTCCACTATATATTACATTACGATACCTTACATAAACATCAGAAGTTATGTATAAAAAATATGTACGATGCTCTTGGGCTTAAGTTTCACGAAGAAGATGAACAGGCTATCGAACGGGTATTTCAAAAGAATAGTCAAGAGGGAAGTTTTATGAAGAGTGGCAGGATGAGAAATTCGATAGTCGATACATGGTTTGGAGAATGGGAAAAAAATATTCTAGAGGACATGATGAACTATCACAAAGGCATTGTACGAAGTATTAATTATAAGTTAGAATAATTATTTGCATGTCACTATCTATTTAACTATAGCAACCTTTATAATGTTGGATGAGTTTGGATGTGGTTGCATGTTGGTGGAGTTGGGTGGGTTACCATGTGAGTGTGGAACAGTGTCATTATTGGTATGTTCTAGATCTCCACCCACTTCTTTATGATATATAAGAGAAGTGATCGTATATCCGAATAACAATTTACTAGTAATGAATAACTATCGACTAAAAGTGTACTATTCGCTTATGTTCAATACAAATAAAAATTTTTGCAAGATTAGTCTTCCATAAATTAAAATTTTTCTTACTATTCATCCGTAATATGACGTCCAAATTCTACAATTTTTCGATAAAAGTTTTAAATACCAGAATCAGACTGATAAAAGGCTTATCATACGTTCAAGAAGTAGAGAAAGAGGATTGGTTCAGTGCATTATCTATTATCTGATATTCATATCTTTAGCGGAGATCAGTCGCAGATGTTCAACACTAAATTTAAACGTTGCCAATTGCAAAGCGTGAAATTAAAAATCAAAAAACTTATAGGGTTTGGAAAAGTTTTCTGAAAGTTTAGCTACCTCTTTCAAAAAAGAGTAGCTTGTTTTGCAGTACATCAGCAAAGATTTCGACTGCTGCTCATACATGTTCTTTTTGCTGATCTTCAGCATGAAAACTAAAAATGAAATCAGTCAAACTAATAACTATCTTGGAATTTCACTTTATTTAATGCTATACTGTGATGACCTCTTTTGATTTATATGCTCATTTGCGTGGAATTATTTTAATGTTGTTTCCTTCTCTCTCAACATGTCTGTTACTCATGTATTTCATTCTGTTTCTTAAATATTCTCATTTGATATTGTCAAGTGTTATGCTGCTCTAGAATGTTGTGCATGTATGTGTAATAATATTAATGATTACCATCATTGCCATTAGTTCAAATTTTTAGTTTTTTTCTACTTTTATCATTTCAGTTACATAAATCCACTATACCTTCCGAATATTACAACTGAAATTAATGACGAATTCTGAAAAATGAGTGGAAAATTTTTATTAGGAATGATACTGTTATGTTGTACCTCGAAGTCAACATGAAAAACTGAATTGATTTGGCAACATTATGCTTGGCAATCGATACGAAGATATAGGATAGCAGAGTTCTATGTATAGTATTCAACTTATCTGTCTTTCACAATTCTTCATCGATTAGTGCCAATACTTGAATGAACTTTTAAAATGGTGTAGTAAAAATAACTAGCAAATATTGGCATGAAAGGACATGCAGACGAAACATTATAGCCTTTGATGATTCAGAGGAAAATTTTAAAAAAAAACTTGCACAATCAGTTACCCGATATGATATCTTACAGGCAATTCTTTTAATTCTACTGGAGAATATGTGCAGTTCTAAGAAAATGATGCGCGTACTTACATTTAATGGTGGTACAGTATGTAAAACAATAACGAAAGAACTAGGGTGTGGGTGTGGGATGTGGATGTGTATGATAAAGCAATGATTTACATCCACACCCGCGCATTTATACTCACAGCCATACCCACGCACACACTCACCCACACCCTTTCCTTTTGGAATATTTTTCATCACCTTGAAAGCTGCACGAGCCTATGACGTTTTATTTGGTTGGTCAGCAAAATGACACTTGATATAATCATTTAGCCAATGATCACATGGTGCCAGGTCAGGTGAATATGGCGGATGAGGCATTATAATAATACGTTCTTCTGTTAAATAATTAATAAGATCGAAACGGGTATGGAATCGAGCATTGTCGTGAAGCAATTTTATTCCTTTTGTACCTGCTGACTGTCTTTGTTTCCATATTTTCTTGAGGGTGTGGGGTGTGGGGTGTGTGGTGTGGGGTGTGGGGTGTGGGGTGTGTGGTGTGGGGTGTGGGGTGTGGGTGTAAGTGTTGGTGTTATTCTTCTCTTAAACGACACTCACACCCACACTCACACCCACACCCACACCCACACTCACACCCACACTCACACCCACACCCACACCCACACCCACACACCCACACCCACACCCACACCCACACACCCACACCCACACCCATACCCACACACCCACACCCACACAGTGGAAACAATATTGATTCGTTTTATTATATGAATTTATTTTCATTTGTTTTTTCTTCTTCCTCTTCTTCTTGGACTTGTTGAGATGACGATGCAAACTTCAAAAGAAAACAAAACATAATGACTTGAGCATAGCAACCAATTCAAGAGGAAAAAAGAGACCAATCTGTATCAAAAAACTACAGAGACGT